CCAAATGTTTTGAGGAAATTCTAACAAATATTAAAGCCATTTTAGTTGGAAACTAAATATTATACATGATATGATACAATATGTTTGGCAGATTTTTCTGAATATTATTCTTGCAAAATTCTCGTTAGTTTCATAATTAATTATTACAGAAATAAGTGTGTAAAAACAAAATAAATTTTGAATATCAATGTGTAGTTTATAATATCTGCTGCCTCCCTAATTTTCAATTACTGACCAGAGAGAAAGCACCTATTCAGAAGCACCTTATCATTCACCATCTTAGGAATTGACTGTCATTCTTACAAAGCACATACAACATAAGGTGTGAGGAATATTTGTGGTATCGTACGGAGTCGAACCCGGCACGTCAGCTCCAAAAGCCAGAGCTACACCACAGGGAGCGAACGTGGCCTGGTGGTTAGGTCGCTTGAATCGCAATCTTCGTGTCACGGGTTCGAATACCCGTTCCGTTATCGAACATGTTTGCCCTTTTATCCTTGGGGCGTTATAATGTAACGGTCAATCCCACTGTTCGTTGGTAAAGAATAGCCCAAGAGTTTGAGGTGGGTGGTGCTGACTAGCTGTCTTCTCTCTAGTCTATCACTTCTAAATTAGGGATTGTCAACGCTGATGGCATTAAATTCGTTTTACGCGAAATTAAATAAACAAACAGAAATGTACCACAGGGCGAACTCGCGCCCACAGATAAAAAAATGATGTGTAAGCTGTCTGTGCATTGCATTATGATTTTAATCGAGGTGCTGTTGGTATTTTTACAGCCAGCTGACAAATATCGTAATGGCATTTATAATTCGTTATTGGCTTTAATTTAATTTTTATCTCAGTTCACAAAGAAAGACATGTTTGATTGTGTATTTACATTTTGTTATTTCTACTTTATGGTTATGTACGTATACTTTATGCAGGGAATCTAAAAGTATGCACAAAACAGGAAAGACATATGTAATATTATCTGTTTTAAATAGAGCAGAATAATATATGTTAAATTTCTTTATCGCTGAAGGAATGCTAATTAGGACTTGATCAACATAACTGCGAATTTAAACTTCATAAAAGATGTTTTGTTTTAATAACGGATTTTCCATAATTCAACTACGCAGATTTCGAAAATAATATCAATTTTTTTCTATCACGTAAGAATTTTTTACAAATCGGGAAGAAAAAACAACTCTTACTTAGATCAAATTATTATTTCGTTTTCTACAATGAACATTTTTTATTATTATGTTTGTTAACAAAAATACAAGCGAAGTGAAGAAAAACCTTGATGTCAAACAGATATGAATCCTCATTCATCCTGATTTTTTGTGAAGTTTACGTCTTTTAGTCTCAAAACTATGTGTTGCGTTATGACATTTTGTGACAAATCTGTACGTGATGGAGAAAAATGGAATTACAGTAGAACATGTAACAATTTCAAGACAGTAAAGCCATCGCAGGCCTGTGTTATCAGAACGTTGCGAGTTTAATTTTTAATTCCCAGAACTATTTATGTTTTTGCGCTAATCACTTCTGAGAATATTAAAGAAAGATAGAAAAATCCCGACTGCAAAAATGTTTGAGGGTTAACAACGCAAAAATTTTAGGTTTGATCCCTGCAAGGAGCACAGCACAGGTAACCCGTTGCGCAATTCAGTGCTTAAAAACAAACTATCATATTGGTTAACTTTTGGATGCTTTATTTTTCCTTCGTTATACTATTAACAGATTCGAGTCATTAATGCGAATTTTTCTGCTTTATTAAGTACAGATTTACAAATAAGTTTATGGAAGTTCTTTTCTCACTTTATTGTAAAATACTACTATACTAGTCCTGTCACTTATGAATCTTGTCCACTTGAGAGCAGACACTATTATTTAACCCTAGATTACTGATGATGGAATTGTGAGGATTCAGAAACGTTTAATAAATGCTTCCTATTATTACGTTCGTGTTTTGTTTTATCGTTAAGCTACGTTTTCCGAAAAATGAGTCGATTGCTCATATTTAATTTGTGTTCTTCTCTTTTCGAGTAGAACTTATCATGTCGTCAACACAAGCCTTACAACCTACGTGCAGAGAGGAAAACGCTAACTAAGGCCAAACGACAAGACTTAAAGGCCATGATGTACACAGATGTTTTCTGTTCGTTAACATATGAAACACTAAGAACATTTGTATTTGGACTTTGTGGGTTTGCAGTCCAGAGAATGTTTAGAGTTTCTTTTACTTTCGTGATAGAATATTCAAAAAAAAATCAAAGTAGTGAAAAATAGTAATAAATAACAATAATAATGCTTAATTAGACTCGAGGGAAAGCAGATCAGAAAAATAGCGTTTTATTTTGTAACAACTAAACGAACACCTATCTATTGCTTCATTCTGCCTTTACCCATGATCAAGAAATATTCACTTTTCAAAAGCTCTAGAGTTTTATTGTTGTTGTTTTTTAAGTGTAATTTATCAACCTTTCTATTCTACGCGTCTTTCATTATGATGAATAATATGTAAAGTCATTTGTTCTTAGAACGTCAAAATTATATAATATCCATTATGTTGTATAGGTATAAGCAAATTACAGAACTTCTAAGTTTAATATATTTGATGAATATTGCTATATTTTGTTTAAAAGACAATTAAAATTAACAGCTTAAGTTGACTTGAAGTTTGTTTGTTTTACATAGGCTATAGGCTCAAGAGTTTACAAACAGTTAAGTGATCACAGCAATGTGTCTTTTTGAAAATATACCAACTAACTCTACCATTGTATTTATTGCTACCCAAGAGCAGATGTTAAGTATATATTTTTAAAGTAATCGGTAGAACTATATAAGCTTCAAAAATTTACTCTTGACACAGTATTTCTAAAGATTACTCAACCTGGTGGCTCAGCGATAAGTTATCATATTAACCTGTGTGTGTGTAAACTTTCTAAGCGAATCCTTTTAGTGTTTAGTAAAATTCGAACTAAAATAAAACAAGAGGGAATCCTCAAGAGCTGCGGACTTGAAGTTATTTCTGGCAGGATTAGAGTAAATTAATTTATGTAAACCTTTTTTTTTTTATTATTAGCTATATATGTGTGCGCCAGCAATAACAAGCGTGGGACGTGATTCAATTTTATTACTCATCAGGATCTCTACCAGCATACCCTCAAATTGAAATTCTTTTAGGCAGGATTAGAGTAAATTAACCTATGAGACCGTGAGCGTGGTCAAATACATCAATCGAAAAGGGTTTGACCTCCTGAGTCCAAACCTATAATTATATCTCAAATCGGCCAAAATATGACGGAGCTATGAGCTAAAAATTTGTACTTGAAAAAAATCAGAGCCGTTCTATAAGCCGTTATGCCGCGGCTAAATTGTCAAAACTCGAGTCTTTTTAATACTATAAGAATAATTTCCTATGTCAATTAATCCCAATGATCCTTAGACTGTTTATTTGTTTAACACATAGCTACACAACGCGCCGCGCCCAAAGCAGGAATCGAGCCCAGAATGTTAGCGTTTTAAGCCATAAAAGAGGAGAAAAATTCCAGTAAACAAAAATGATTAATAAAACTCTGTAATCCAAATAGCTCATAGTGCACATTTACTTCTTAATAATTGATTTTAAAGATACTTGAAATATTACTCTTACTTTTTTTTTGGTCAACCCTGTAACGTTTTGATACACTTGTTTATTTAAACCACAGGATACATTTTTACGTGGCTTGGGTGGTCTTCGGCCTGTTTTTTTCAAGATTACACGACGAAACTACTCTAGTTCAATGCAATCTGGCTTGTTTATTTGTAATTAAGTACAAAGCTACACAATGGGTCATCTGTGCTCTGCCCACCACGGGTATCGAAACCGCAGAAATATCGCTGTGCCACCACAATACCAACTCTAGATATATCTTAGAACAAGAAACAAACAAATAAAACTTTAAAAGCCACAAAAGACGCATGTAAAAGGTGTGATTCGTCGTTTGTAACTGTTAATCTAACAAATAAACGGAAGGATAAGCAAAGTTTCAAAACTTCAGGAGTAATAACAGAAGTTTAAATAATCTAAAATGATGACTTGTTTTCAATTAGGTTAAAATCAAATGCTGCAGATTAAAAAATGAAATGTATATTTACTATGTCGTATTATATTAATATTTATAAAACAAATCAGAATAAAACACGCACTTTTATTCTGACGTTAGGACGTTTATCTTAATTCAATTGTTATACATAAAACAATCCTTATACCGATTTTAGCTGCTAATTAAGCGTTACGATCGGTAAAAGTAAGCTGGTAATTAAGTGTTACGATCGATAAAAGTAAGCTGCTAATTAAGTATTACGATCGATAAAAGTAAGCTGCTAATTAAGCGTTACGATTGATAAAAGTAAGCTGCTAATTAAGCGTTACGATTGATAAAAGTAAGCTGCTAATTAAGCGTTACGATTGATAAAAGTAAGTTGCTAATTAAGCGTTACAATCCATAAAAGTAAGCTGGTAATTAAGCGTTACGATCCATAAAAGTAAGCTGCTAATTAAGCGTTACGTTCGATAAAAGTAAGCTGCTATTTAAGTGTTACGATCGATAAAAGTAAGCTGCTAATTAAGCGTTACGATCGATAAAAGTAAGCTGCTAATTAAGCGTTACGATCGATAAAAGTAAGCTGCTATTTAAGTGTTACGATCGATAAAAGTAAGCTGCTAATTAAGCGTTACGATCGATAAAAGTAAGCTGGTAATTAAGCGTTACGATCCATAAAAGTAAGCTGCTATCATGAGTGAATATACTTGTATTCGGAACTTCCTTGTATATGTATCTAAAGATCAGAATTGAGTATTAAAATTCTATGATAACATTTTAATTTTATTATCAATATACAATATAACCTGTAACAGCTAATGACGATCAAAATTGTACAAAGTTCAAGATGAATATTATGAAACGCATATGAATGTGTAGATGAAACATCCATATAAGCAGAAGATAATTAAATCTGAATTCTACCTTTCTCCGTTGTGGGGAAACAACGCTGCGGGGCTATTTGAAGGCCTTGACCTTGGGTGTAAAAATACTGCGGGTCCAAAGGAGGAACACTGCTGACTCCTGAGGGTGTCGGAGGACCCTGATCACTTGTCATCTGAGTAGTGGGAAACATGTCCACACATCTGTTAACAGAACATCGACAGACCAAACTCTGTTGAAGCTCTAACTCTCATAGAACCGCTTTATATATATTCAGTGCGTGTCTCTCGAGCCAACTTAGCTGTTGCAATGTGTGCGAAATGCATGCATTCGCGAGAGTGCGCGCACTCTCGGTGCTCATGCGCGCCTCAAGCAGGGTCTTCTCCCAGTAAAGCGAGCATCGCTTTTCGTTGGCAATATCCAATGCATTGTATCCATATTTATGTATACGAATGATATAAAAAATATAAACTGTGATATTTAGTATCGTCGGGTTCAAGACTATGTATAAATTGACACCATTTTTTTCCTTCTGTTTTGTTTGGGCGTTAAAACAACTCCAGTTGAGACAACTTTTCCACAACAGATTTCATTAACGGCAAATACATATGAAAACGTTTATCGATCATATTTACATACATATATTATTAGTGTTTTCAGTATTGTTCTCTTTTGTTTCTTGTTCATTATCTACTTAAGCAGCTAATTTATTACAAAATGTCCCTGGACTCCCCATTCCTTGCTAAATGCTGTATCAAGAATAATCAACTAGGCTGGTGGCTTTACTGTCGCAAGAAACAATTTCCTTACTCTGCATGTGTGGATGTTGGCCATATCGATCACTTAAGGAAGAGAGCACGTTCCTAAGGGTAGCCATTCGTACCTAAAGCTATTCCAGAGTGTGTAACATTGCATAGTAAGCACATAACTTACTAACGTGTTTCATCTCAGCTTATCCCGTCAAATGGTTTATTACAGAAGTAAGCCGTTAACTTCACATAAGTTATTGTTCCTGTCACAAAATCAGATTTTATTTCCTTTGGAAAACGCAGATATTTTCAGCTAATCTTACTCAAAGCATAATGTACAGTTAATGCTTCAACTAATGTTTGTTGTATTATTATATTTCAAGCTCGTAAGTACTTGATGTATTATCGCAACCAAATTGCTTATTTTTAATAACTAAGGCTGGGTAAAACCTAATGGTTAATGTGACACGCTGCGGATCAGAAGGTTTAAGGTGCAAGCCACCACATGTTCCGAACACGTTCCGCACTTCAAGCAGTGTGGGAGATTTATAACTGTACCAGTCGATTCTGATGTTAAGGGTAGATGAATAGGTAGCAGTATCTGCTGAGTGATTGCCCACCATATGGTCAGCAGTTTTAAAGTAGGAATGGCTGTGCCTAAATAGTAAGTGTCTCTGAATTAGTTGATTAAGCCAACAGGTTGAAAATACTATATAGTTGTAAAGAATGTGCCGTTAATTAATACATTGAATGAAATATTCCAGAAGACTAGCATGTTCTAAGGAATTTTGTATCTTCTTGAAGTAATTTGTACGTAACATATGTAGGTTCTTTGATTTTTATTAATAACAAAATTTATTTTTCCACGATAAAAGCCTGATATGGATTCCAAATATTCTGAAGACACGATCCTTTAATTTCTAATCTATACAATTACTAAGCTTAAGCTTTTGCATAGTAACATAATATTTGGGAAAAAAAATCAATTCGGTTACATGATAGTTAACAGTATCTGCGCTTGGTTTACAGCTTGGATTAATTATTAGTTTATTTATTATATCCAGAAGAGCTCCCACTTCTCTCAAAACAAAACATTCGACAATGAATCCAATTGACAGAGGTTAAAACAAGAAACATTATCTGGGGCCTTTAATTTGAGATCTAACATGATTGTGTTATCTCTACTCGCAGTTCTGAAATGTGGTGAGTGTAAATCCAACAATTAGTTCTGAAATGTGGTGAGAGTAGATCCAACAAGTTTGTGTCATCTCTACACACAGTTCAGAAATATGGTGAGTGTAGATCCAACAAGACTGTCATCTATGCACATAGTACTGAAATGTGGTGAGTGTAGATCCAACAAGTCTGTCATCTATACACAAAGTACTGAAATGTGGTGAGAGTAGATCCAACAAATGTGTGTCATCTCTACACACACAGTTCAGAAATGTGGTAATTGTAGATTAATAAGATTGTGTCATTTCTATAAATGATTTTAATATTTGATGAGTGTAAAGCCTGACAAGGTTATATTGTCTCAAACATATTGTAGTAGTGTAAATCCGCAAAGGTTTGTATTATCTGTACATTGTTTTGATATGTAGACGCCACAGAGTGGTACCAGTACCACGCCTACACAGAGGGATTTAAAGCGAGATGGGTTGTCCATCCATACACATGGTAATGAGTGTAGATCCAATAAGTTTTTGATGTCTCCACATAAAGTTTTTGGTGAAAGTATAACAAGTAAAATTCTGAACGTTTTGGCTAAAATAAAGCCCTGTGACGCAATATCCTCTTAAAACAGACAGTAACTTGTGAACTTCCAACGTGTCCATCAAATCCCGCAATGTCAAAGGCTTGAATGTGATCCCAAGTTTAACACTTACTAGACATGTACTGTAAGCAAATTCCGCTTCACCAAGTAACTAATCATTTATCTACTAAAGTGCACAAACAATCCTTTCTCATCTTACGAAAACAGCAGCATCCTTGTACTAAATAACAGGATTAACTGACAGTTTCACAACGACTCCAGATGAATATGCATCTCGAACCTTGGAGCCCTGGATCTCCATCCCGGCGCGCTTACCAATAAGTCACACCCAGCCCTCTAGAAACAGAAATCTGTAGTATACATAATTTATACTGGAAGTATTTCCCACTGTGACTAAACGCGTATTATATTATATTGCACGTTTAATATCTTTTGTTTACTTTTAAAGTTTCATTTCTTCAAGTCCTGAGAGTTCATTCAAGTAAAACGTCAAGCTGAATTATCCAATATCTTCAGCCTAATGAAGACAGAAAATTTTCAAATTCTGTTTGTACGCACAAGAAGCCGTCTAACCCAATACACATTGTGAATGACAGTCTGATCTTATAATCCATATCTTACACTCAAATCCACGAATGAGATACACTATTAATCCCAGTAACAGAAACCTTCCCAGAAAGGATGTCTAGCACGTGACCTTCTTCTACGAATACTTTTCTCGTATAGACAACATTAAATGGAGCAGTACTGAAAAATCCTTCTTAGAAGCGTGTTAGGACAGTGATGATTAACATGCACGTAAACATTAGGACAGCGATGATTAACATGCACGTAAACATTAGGACAGCGATGATTAACAGGCACGTAAACATTAGGACAGTGATGATTAACATGCACGTAAACATTAGGACAGCGATGATTAACAGGCACGTAAACATTAGGACAGCGATGATTAACAGGCACGTAAACATTAGGACAGCGATGATTAACAGGCACGTAAACATTAGGACAGCGATGATTAACAGGCACGTAAACAGAGAATGAACGAGGAAACAAAATAATATTCAAATATGTTCATTAAAAAATACTGACGGATAGAAAAATAGATTAATCCATACTTACAAAGAGTGACAAATAGAAATAGATGTATGCCAAAAACTGAATCCCTGCATTTCTTCATAGAAAGAAAAACCATTTCAAGTATTACTATATTTTAAGACTTTCTGTTTAAAACAAAATAACCTTAAAGTAAACCAATAAATAAAGACCATAGGTTGACAGAACAATTACGCTTTTCCTATTGTTTGATATTTTTATTTTTAACTTTACTTGTTTTATTTTTGTAGGCTTGTATTGCAAAGACACCGAGTTCCTAAACGTGTCGCAAAAACCTAATTTTCTTCACAATATATTAGTGTACTTCCTGTAGTTGCGTCATAAAGTCGTTGTGAAATGAAACATTGTCTGATGTCACACCCTTGATATGAAATTAATATATTTCTGCATAGAAACAAATGAAAATGTTCCACTTTTACAGCCGCCATTATGAAAAATATCTGTTCGTTCTTGCTCATTTGTAAGCAATCGCCTCTCTAATCAAATAACGCGATGTAGAGATAAAGGCCTACACTGACATAAATTTTAAGAACTAAAATGGCTACCCAGGGTTTAATTACAAAAGCATATTATTAATGTTTCCATTCTTGATAAGAGGTAATTTCTTCCTAAACATACGTTTTAGAGCATCCAGATTTTTGAAAATTTTGTGAGGGAGGACTCCTGGGTCTCCGCATGGGTCGCTTCATTATAACATAATCGTTTATCTTTACACAAATGAGTAATTGTGAAGAATTTCAAGCTACGTCCCTACCATAAATTAAATACCAAAAATTTACGTTGCTATACAGATTTCTAACAGATCATTCCCGAACAAAAAAGCTAAGAGCATCTGCTACTAATTATAAGAGAAAATTAAAAGCTTGAAAATAAGATCTTAGAGATGTTTGTAAAGAGAGTATGAGAAATACCATTAGAACAGATATATTAGTAAACAGTTATCTATAGATACAGAAGAAGATGGATATATAGATCTGTAGCAAGATAAGGTAAATATAAATAGGTAAAGTCTGGGAAACAGAAACACATAAATATAAATATATAAACAGATGAATACAAGATGAGATAAATTTATTAATTATTTAAATAAAACGCTTGTCTGCTTTACAATGTCATAAGACAAAGGAAAGAAACAAACGATAGGCAAGGCTGATTTATATGGAGATTTACAAGGGGAAACTGACAGGTAAAGATTTGGAAAAAAAAACGACTATTAACATAGTAGCTTATCTTTTGCCAGAAGAATGCCATCTAGCTCATCTATTACGTATCAATCCGGCTGTAAAATCATCTTCAGTGACTGATGGCTTTGAAGACTAACCTCAACTTATTACTTAATCAAGACATGCTACAAACTTGGCATTCTGATAACGCAGTGTATCTAGCGTGCTAGATCACAAAGTTAGTCTCGCTTGAGTAGAGACTGAAGAATCGCCTCGTGACTCGTATGTACATGAATATAAGAAAATAAACATTTCAGTAGGTTAAATCCAAAGATACGAGAGATGTATTAGGTATAAAATGTACGTAGGTGTATTTAGGTATTTCAAATTCTTATGATATTTCCAGGGTCTCTTTTGTTACTAAGAGAACTAGTTATCGAACAATTTCCAGTTCGGTGAATATAAGAAAAACGAAGAGGCTAGTCTACTTTAATCGG